TGTGTGTGTGTGTGTGTGCAAGCTTGTCATCACACAGTTTTTTCAGTTTGCCAATGTGCTTATCTGTTGTCTCGTTCTCTCTCCTCTCCCTGCCACATACTCAAACACTCACATTTGCACAACCACACACACTCACCCACACTTTACCTCACCTACACGCTCTTCATGGACTCTATACCTGAGCATCCTTCAGGTCCCTGCTCTTCCACCATCAATTTTCCATCTCTATCAGTTTATCTTGCCTTTATCAATGTATCTCCTTCACCCTTATACACACACTCTTGCATAAATGTTTTAATTCCAAGTGTGGGTCTCAATACAGGACTTAGACAAGAAAAGTGATGGCATGCATCTGCAGACACTACAAAACTATATATTGTTTATGACAGTGGTATAAGAGATGAGAGTGTCCTGTTTAGAGAGAAACAATTGATAAACCAAAAATACATTACATCCATGTTTCCTTTCCTCCCTACACGTCAGCTCCTTTGATTATGCAACATTTTTTAGGTGGTTGCATCTGTTGTTCTCAGTTCCTAATGGGATTTATGCTATTGAAAATCTAGTAGATGTGAAATTGGAATCATCTTGGATGAAGGAAACAGACATTGGAGACAGGAAGAAGAAGTACAGTGAAATCAGAAATGAAAAGGGGCAGTTGTGTGAGAGAAAAATGCATGTCAGAGAGACAGTGTGCAGTTAAGAAGAACAAGCTGGGAAATGCTCATGGATGGGAGACTCTGGAAAAAAAACAGAAACAGATAAAAGCATTGAGTGTTTCAATAGAAGCCACAGAGTTGCTGTAAGTACAGTACCTTGCTAACAGCTGACAATAAAGCAGAAGGCTTTCTTTTCCAAAAGCCTCTTACTGTGTATGGCTGAATGGCCACAAACAACAAAGTAGCTTTTAAGAGGAGCATCTGACATCTACACTCTGGTGGAATGCATTCTGTGTGTTTCTTTGTTTTTGTTAGTTCTTGCAGAGAGCACAAACATTGTCTTTACAAAACCCCCAGCAGATATAGATGTCTGCACAGTGAAAAAGGGAATCTCTTTAGCTCTTGATGCCGCCTATATAATTTTAAAAGTGTTGTCTTGTACTACTATAAAATGTCTATATTTTAATACACGTTTATCTTAATTATGTAATAAATAGTTTGTCATGACTCCTGCACCATATCTTTTTAGATATTTGACATAAATGTGCGCAACCACTGTAGTTCACTTATAATGCATCAGCCTCAAACACTACAGAATCACAGAGAATTTTAAGAGCGTTATTGTTGAACACAACCCAAAGAGTCTACATTAATTGACCTTCTGTGGTTGTGGTTCTACACCAGAGAATATGCTTTGAGGTGGCATCTCCATACCAACAGTCAATTTCTTTGTAACCATAACGGAAGTCTTTGCCTTAACAGTTTCCATGTTTCATGTTTTATTTAATTTTTGCATGGTATTGTGATGTTCCAATTCAAGCATCATACGGTATAATCTATGGAGCCATTATTGTAGCAAAACTATTTAAAAATGGGAGTAGATTGTTTTGAAAATATATTCCAAGTCAACAGTTACAACTCAGGTGGGCTTTTCAATTGTTTGTGTTTTTGTGTGTGACTTTTGCTACATTTCTGAAAATGCATGCGGCGGGTGATTTGTTTTCTGGTGGACAGATAATGTTAGCTTTACTTGTTGCTTTACTTGGAGCTGACCCCACTGTAACCCCCCACTCAGGCCTCCAGAGGTGGGCGCTGACTTTTGCGCCCGACGCCCCTGCCGTGATTTAGGGCGGCTCAACAGCACCAAATGTGATATTGTTGCCATTTTTGCTAATTACTTACTGCCGATATACTCATGCATACGTGTGTGCTGCGCAAGAGCTTATAATACTTATAATAATAATAACACTAATATCAGTGATATCAGCAATGGCAGTCAAGCAGGACCATGGTAGGAGGCTCCACCAGGATCCATGAGAACCTGTACTGTACACATGTGATTTGTTGAATATTTCTGCTTGAATTTCCCTCAGGATAAATAAAGTATCTATCTATCTATCTATCTAGTTTCTGCAGATCCTCCAAAATGTTACACTCTGAACCTTTAAATCTTAATCTAGAAGAAACTTCAGACACAGAAATCTCTCAGCTCAGACACCAAAATCTAATTGAAGTTTATTTTGGTGTAACCTGCCATTATCTTCTTATAATGTGTCAACCATCTCTTGGACTGCAGTAAATTGCCATTATCATTACATTATATACATACATTATATTTTATTTGCATTAAACTGTGTGTTAGCCACTTCTGTAGAGGGAGCAGTGCAGCCACAGACCAGGCCTGTCACATTTGTTGTCAACACAGTGCTAAACGGTAGCCGAATACCATAACAATTTGTGGTGGACCACCTCATTTAAAGAATCACCTTTGCTTTAATTTCCACATTATGCGATTTAAACTTTTTTACATGTACTGCACAGCTCTAAATTAATTTTTGATGATATTACACCATGGACACGATACATGAAACATTAAACCAAATCATGAGACTGTTAATGAGCAACTATTTCCAATGATGTCATCCCTACATGCAGGCAGGACAAAATAAAAACTTTTAGGGAGAAATGAAGTCACTGTAGTTGATCAGAGGTCCTTAAATAACATTCTTGGACCTTCTTTAAATGGTAGCAGAGAGGATGAGAAAGGAAACCACCCAAAAAGGGACATATTTGTTACATATGACCATTTCTCTCTCTGTCCCTCTGTTTTTTTTTTTGCAATTTTAATTTAATAATTTTAACACATTAACTTCATACAAAAATACAGATGATACAGATGTGATGTGAGAGGTTCTAGAATCAATTCTGTGTCCCATTTGTTGAAATGTCATTCTTTTCCTGGTTGGGACCAGTCTGGACCAGATGTTTGGCCCAGCTAAGCTCAGTATCCCAAACCTGGTGGCTAAGTGAAGAGAAGACAGGAGTGCAGTGGGGAGAATTTATGAAAAGAAAAAGAAAGTGAGCGAAAGTAGGGAAATGAGGCACATGTGTGTACATGTGTGTTAGAAACTGTTCCCCACATATGTTCGCCTCATTATCCTTCGGCTGCAGCTCATTCTACAGGAATGCAGGGCAGCAAACACATGTCCAAATCCAAACCCCTAGTGACACATAAACACACACACACACACGTAGAGGCTCTACACTTTGTTAATCACAGTGCCACACAGCCCTACTTCCTGAAAAACCCCTCCACAACACCCCATATGTCCGCTGGACCTCAGTTATCACTTAGTTACTGATGCTAGGGGAAAAAATCCTCCTGAATGTTTCACTGACACAGAAGAGATGCCATGGAGTCAGCAGAGAGATGCTGCTAATGAAAAGCACATGACTGGATATGAGTGCACTCATCTAAACAATAGCGGGGTGGGTGGGAGATGCAATTACAGCTGGGTTTTCCCTAACAGAGGTCCAGTGTTCACAGTATTTCACAAGGCCTTCTGATATAGAAACATTAGCTTGTTCATACACACAAATATGCAAACATACTCATGCACCCTTCTTTTGGTCTATTTGAGACAAACATTCACATGCTAAGCTGCAACAGAACAAAATAATAACAAATTGTGACACAGTTCTGACACATGAAAGAGCCGGCGGTCTTCCAGAAGGAATTAAGATTAAACCTCACTGGCCCTGAGCCGAGCAGAGGGGGAGAAAGAACCACTGTGACCTTCAGAGGGAAAAAAGCCAGGGAACAAACCCAACAGGCAGGCTTGTCCACTAAAGGAGAGAGAGAGAGAGAGAGAGAGAGAGACAGAGAGAGAGGGAGTGAGAGGGAGGGGAGGGTTACGGACTGACAGAAACAGGGGAAGAGAGAGAGAGAGGGAGGGGAAGGAAAAAAGTGAGAAAGGCAGAGAGAAGAAAAGACACAAAACTTGTGACTTGACAAAAGAGGGCAGGTACCAGAGGCAGGTAAGAAACTTCATTTGTTGTTTCCAGAGGGTGCTGTTTTAGATGGGACATTATCAATAAGATAATGCTAGCAGGAGTGTGTTTGTGTGAAACAGAGCGAGGCAGAAAGAGCAGAGAGAGAGAGAGAGTGTGTGTGTGTGTGTGTGGACTATGACTGATTCTTGGCACAGCTGAGCCATGCTGGTGTGTTTCTATAGAAACGCTGTGCCATACAGAGTGGTACTCTGTCCTCCAGTGAGCTGCTGCACACCTCAACTCTACTTCTTTCCCCAGCTCCTGCGTACTCACTTTGATTTGAGTTCAGCTTTTTCCATCAGTGTGTGTGAGGACAGCAGCTGCTGTAGTACAATTCAAGTATGAAGCTTTAGTCACACTTGTGAAACTCCCTGTTGCTCACTTAGGCTGGTGGAGAATATTCATTTTTGCAGCTCAGCAGGTAGATCCTCAAGTAATTTCAAGGCAATGCAAAACAAGAATTTTTGCTTACATGGATGTTACTTACTTTGCAGTGGCAGTTACTCTGCACATTTTGTGATGGGTCATAGGCCCCCAAATGTTCAGAAGATCGTATTGCTGATGCATACTTTTTCAAAATCACAGTCTGTGGTGAATCACAGTTTTGTAAGATGGTTGAACTTTTAAAAATCCCCCTGTGAAGAAAACAATGCTGTAGGTTGATGATCCAGACAAAGAAGCAGTGATAACAGAAGAGTCTGAAGTGTTCTGTTCTCTACTCTCACTTTACTTCAAATTAGAATCATATTATTTTATTTTATTAAAAGATGTATCATTTGTTTTTGCCAGTGCAAATTCTAACTCCTTTAGATCCAATCTACACCGCAGTACTGCCCCACCCACATGAGGAAATGTTTTGGCAATATTGTAATACTAATGGAAGATATCTGCTGGTGATTACTATTCCAGTGTATGTATACCAAGAAATATTAACATCGAGTCCATCTTTCAGTTAAGGCGGACTTAACTTCCCATAATGTTTTAGATATACAGAGATGCATCATAACAGTCAGAAGATGCAATTTGTATGACGTCACATATAGCATCATGTAAGTTATTTGGAGATTTGGAGTTGTGATGATTAGTTAGAAATATTTTAAGATATCTGTTGTGCATGACATGGCTCTTATTCAAGGTTTTTTTAGCGGTCTCACAACAGTAGATCATTTTCAGTTGAAGGAATCACAGTGCCTGTGCCAAAAACAATAAGAGAAATGAACTGGAAGGAGCTCATCATCAAGGACCTTGTGGTAACAAAGAGTTTTGTTCAAAACCTACTTGAAAATGAGCCATGAGTTTTTTTTTAACTCTCCTGACATTCATGGACATACACAGCAGTCTGGATATAGTCTTATTAATATGACCCCTGAAGATCTCTCAAGAGGACTTTTACAGTAGTACTAGTACACAATTAAAATGTAAAGATATCAAAACAGTAGTTTTCAAACATAGCTGCAGTTCAAATTATCTTTGATTGCACTTTGACCAATAATTATAATAATAATATATTGGGCTTATATGTCAAAAAGGACAAGTATGCATCTTTAAATAGAAAGTAAATATTTTTAATGATATGTTAAGTTTGAGTTATGGCTAGTTGTAATTTGAGTGGAAATGTTCGAAATTAACATTTTAGATAAGGAAAAGTGAATTGTAGGTTCAAAAATGCTTTTGGTCATATCACATGAGCTTGAGTTTACATGAGTTTGGCACAGTTTTGCCAATTTGCCAAATTGAAATTCTGCATTCCCATGACAACTGGGCAAACTACATCTGCTATACAGCCATTAGAAGCTTGATTAGAAGCTTCAGGACAACTACTTCATGGACCTTGTGTGTCTTTAAAGGAAGGATCCGATTAAATGGTACAAAAATGGTTGGTTTTAAAGTCAAGTTAATAATAGCTGGTGACACATGAATTATCTGTGATGTGAATCTGGTCAAAGTATGATGAGGTGGTTTGTGCCATTCTGACCTGCAGAGATGTACTACAGGAATCTCTGACCCTCTGCAATAAGTGTCGTTCTCATAATCATCAGATTTGCTTATCGAGGTCACAAATAACAAAGCAATGAGTCAGCCCTCTCCAACTTTGAGTCTTTAGTTGTTTGCCAGACCGCAGGTCATGACAACAGCAGCACGAGGGGAAAGAGAGCTGGTTCTGGTTTTGAACGAGGGGCTGGGAGGCTCTGGGTGGCTGAGAGGGAAAAGGAAGGGCAGTGCCAGGGAACACTGTCAGAGAAAAGTTCAGATTTGTTTTTCCAGGCATGACGGATACCAGCCCTGAGCCCCATTCCTGCCCTGTGATTCATATGTGATGTTTATCAAATTGGCCGGAGGCTTGCCTAACTGGAGCAGAGTGATTGGAAACTAATGGTGCATTTGTGCCGAAGCATTATGTATTTCTACAGCTGTGTGGTGATTGTTTACAGCAGGCTTATGCTGATGAGGTAAAATCCACAGCACGCAGAAACAGACACAAACAGACATTCTGGATAATCTAAAATTTTAGATTTATGAGATAAGAAGTGAATTTATCTCCAGTGAAAGGTTAATAATTTTCAAACATCTGCATCTGTGTGTGTGTGTGTGTGTGTGTGTGTGTTACAGTCTCTTAGTCAGAGGATATGGAGGTCATTACATTGTACACACACAAGATTAAGATGCACAGATCTGTTAATGTATTGTAGACATATGTTAAAAAGTCATCAATTACAGTAAAAATTAAATTACCTCCCCTATGTAGAGTTCAAACTCTTGGGTATGTCTTGGATGAGTCTCCATACCAACACCACCAATATACAAAGTAATCTAAAAGGTTAAATAACATTAAAATACATGTCGGTACCAAACTAAATATTCATTATCTCAGCTTGCAACATTGTTGTATTTACTATGGTTTAAAATATACATAGTGCGTCCATCAGTCTCACTGAGCTTTAACCCAGTTTCCTTTGAGCCTCTCTTGGGTCAAAGAGCTTTAACCTTCCAGACCTAAAGTTTTCCCCTGCTCAACTCTCCCTTTGGACCAGCACTGACAATAGAGCCTTTATCCCCAAATTTTTCCTTTCCTCTCTCTCATAAGCACTAATTTCCTGTATCAGTGTCTGACCCTCCTCCTTCTAAATTTAGTAGAAATTAAAGAAATCACTGCCTACGTTCTAGCGCTCTCTCTCTTTCACTTATATTACCAAGCCACAGATCTTAATCTTCCATTTGTTTAAACTGGAATAACATTGATCTGACTTTGACATAACCCCTCAATTCACAGCATTCATTCACATACTTTTCTTACTCTTGGACAGTGGAAAGGTTATGAAAGTTTCGGTGAACCAGACTGCTCTCTTGGTGTATATATCTTAATTATTTTCTACTCAGCAGGCTAGTAAAGTCACAAAGTCACTTTGCAGTTGTTTTAATGGTGAAGATCCAAAAGAGACCTTCTTTACATATTGTCCATACTGCATTGGCCGGTTCAACCCTGAAAACTCTTTCACTCTGGTGACAATCATAAGGCAAATACAAACATTTGCTTACTGAAGTTTTTAGTGTAATCAGAGATTAATGTCTTGGTCTGCTCTGAGCCTCTAAATGCTTGCCAATCACCGAAACAGGGTTTGTACGCTCTTGGGAGTCAGCACTGCCCAGAACTCCCACACAGAACAAGACACACAAACAGAACCAATGCATGCATTTCTGTTATTAAGCTTTCTGTGTGAGTTGGATGAACTGATGCATTGGCTAACCAGCAGAACCAAAATAACAGTTTGTGTGCTGTGAGGAGGTTTCTTTCGCTCTTTTAACTATGCATTCAGTAGAATCTATCTCTGTTTTGTACTCTAAAATAGGACTATGAAGGCCGGCGCGGGACTCGTCTCTGCATTGGCTCTGCTCCTCCTGATGGGGGCAGTGTTCACCCAGAGACTTCGGCCAAAGAAGCCCACCAGGCGCCCAGTCACCACCAGGAAGCCTTCTGTCCCCCAGCCTGCTGCACCAGCACAGCCAGAGCCCCAGGAGCCAACTGACTTCCCCCCACCCATCCTGGGCCCACCCTCCATGTATGCTGACTGCCCACGAGAGTGTTTATGCTCGCCGAGCTATCCGAATTCTCTCAACTGTGAGAACCGGAACATCCGTGTGATCCCTGTCATCCCATTTAGAACCCACTACTTGTACCTGCAGAACAACTACATCTCAGAGGTGACGCCAGAGGCGTTCGTCAATGCCACTGAGGTTCGCTGGATCAACTTGGCTAATAACCGCATTCATCGAATAAACAAACAGGTCAGGAAGCTTCCTCAATTAATATTCAGGAATTGAAAATACCCTAAAAGCACCTCAAAACATGTTGTCTGTATCTCTCTCTCTTGTGTAGGTGTTTGAGAAGATCCCAGCACTGCTGTACCTCTATGCACAGCATAACCAGCTCAAAGAGGTCCCTTCAGGTCTCCCAGCAAGCCTAGAACAGCTCCGTCTCAGTAGGAATCGTATTTCGAAGATCCCTGCCGGTGCCTTCAACAAAATGGGGAACCTGACTCTACTTGACCTGTACAACAACCAGGTAAAGCTCTTTTTAAAAATACCTGTGAGCATCTCACTACACTGTGCTGTTTAGGTATGAGCAGTATCAACCACCTGTATGCATTTTCTGGATTAAACACAAGTTTGATGACTCTTTCAGCTGAGTGACAGTGACCTGGGAAAGAACACATTTAAGGACCTGACGAGCCTCATGCAGCTCAATCTGGCTCGCAACATCCTGAAAAAGATGCCTGCTGGCATACCTAGTGGCCTCATACAGCTTTTCCTGGACAGGAACAATATAGATGACATCCCAAAGTAAGTATACAGTGCACACGTTGTCACATAGCTGATGACCACACATACACACATCATGCATCATTAAGCACTGGTGGGAATTGACATTTTATTCATTGTTCTCTTGTTCAGAGACTACTTCAGAGACTTCACTCACCTGGCGTTTGTGAGGCTGAACCGCAACCAGCTGAGTGATAAAGGACTGCCCAAGGCTGTGTTCAACATATCCACCCTGCTGGACCTGCAACTGTCCCACAACCAGCTCGCTTCCGTTCCTCTCTTCAACAGTCACCTGGAGCACCTGCACCTCAACCACAACAGCATCGAGAGTACGTTATCTCAGCAGCAATCAGCACCAGCTTAGGGGTTTGTGAGAGATAGTATGTCTAACAGACTTAACTTTATAAGACATTGTACTTAAAGCTGTAGTAATCAATCTATTTTTTAATAACAATGGATTAAATGACTACTGGCATGCAATGTAAAAAGCTCACAGTGACAAAGCCGCAGAGAATTATTACCTGACTCAGCAGTTTCTCTGCATTGTTTCAGCTCATTGTTTTGGTTTTACAGCCCACACTTTTACTGCTTTGATTTGTCAGTGCTGTCATCAAACTCATTTCTTTCAGCAAGGCAGCTGTTTTTAGTATAAAAAAAAATCTCAGATAAATGCTGCCCCAAGGGGACAACACATTAATGCAGCTTTAATGTTGTAATGCTGTAAATGTATTTTTATTCAAATCACAAGTGTATCTGACTAGACCTCTACTCAGCTTGATGCTGAGGAATAGGCTTATGCTGGGAATTACATGAGGTCACCAAACACCATGTGTGAATTACAATGAGAAAGGTGTAAGTTTTACTACCATAGCGATACTGTTGTTGGCAGTATACATCATAAACACTGTGCCCTACGTGTCGGTGGATGGGACAAAAGCCAAACTAAAAAATCAGTATACATCAGATACATTTTGATGGTTTCTGTCAATGTAGGTAGTTCTAACTTCATTTATCTCACATGTGAGTGGGGCTCACCTGGTAGAGCACGCATCCCATGTACTAAGTCTGATCCCTTGCTGTAGCAGCGTGGGTTTGACCTGCTGAATGTCTCTCCCCATTTCGTGTCTCTCTTCTGTCTACATAATCTTACTTTATTGTGTTACTTTTAGGGCTTCGCAGTGGCTGGTTCATGTTTACGTTCCTATGCGAGCCAGCAAACTGCTTTTCAGGCAGCTCTGTTAAGAGTATTCCTGTGTGAGACTAAATAAGACAAACAAGTTTTTGCTGGCAGGACAGCAAAGCTTTGCCTCAGGCTCACAGAGTCAATAACATGCTTTAAATCAATGTTCAGATGTGAAAGGTGAGGCGGTTCCATGATAATTGCCTTATATTAATTTTTCCTTGTTCTCTAGTCTGATTTCTTTTTTTATTCCTGCTATAAAGTTTGATCCAGTGGTGTAGTGGTAACTGGAGAAGTGGGTATACTCTTTATTTATGCCCCAAGTTTTTTTTTTTAAAGAGGCTACAGTACAGTAAGGGATAAAGATAAAGTAAACTTTATGTGTTATAAACAGTGACAGGACTACTAATGCATAAATATATTTCACCCCAAAATGGGCCAGTAATCTTTACACATGGTGTCCATAAGAGGGGATTTAGAAGTGGGTATAACCAATAGTATATAGTATAATATACCTGCATATACCCTGCATTACTCCACTGGTTTGACCCCATTTGTTTGCTTGGCAGATTTACATTTTTACATCTTACAGCAAAATAATCCTATTTAATTGGCAGATTTCTTAAAATTCTTGCTTGTTTGAAAGAAAACAACATTTGAGGACTAGGCATTCATGACTGTGTGTTTTCTTGACAGGCATCAATGGCACCCTGCTCTGCCCATTCAATTTGCAGGCCGACTTGAGCGATGACAGCCTGGTTCCTAGACTAAGGTACGTCACATTATGTCACATCTTGGCACTCAACAATACAAACTGGGGCAGTGGCATGTTTTGGCAGGAAGTAAATAGGAACAAAAAATTATGTCAGTCAATGTGAGGGCATTAAGTTAAGTGCGTGTTCTGTTGCGTCAGGTACCTGCGTTTGGATGGAAATCACCTGATCCCCCCCATCCCTCTGGATGTCATCATGTGCTTCAGACACCTTCGCTCTATTGTCTTTTAGGAGAACTGTGCCTAAAGGCCTGAGGGCACACACACACACACAAACTACACACATACACACACATACACAAACTGACTTTAAGGCAGAACACGCTCAGTGGAGCACACGGTATATCCTCAGTGGAACTCAAAGCAAATAAATGAAACAACCGTGAAGCTTTGATAGTTCAAGCTTTTTAGGTTTAAGTTTCATTGTTGCCAGATTCAAGAGAGTCAGAACATTGAATCTACAGAGTGAGTATACCAACATTTAGGGTTAGGTTTTTGTAGGAGTTACAGTTTATCAGTCATTCTTTGTTTATTAAATTACAATGCAAAAAAATGAGTAAAGCCTGAAAATGCAGGTACATTGACAGACATGCTACAGATATAGAGGGTAGTTATGTTAGCTGGCAGATGAGTAGAACTGCCACCAAGGACAATAAACAACAACCTGCAATGGATGTCAGAAGAACCAATTTAAAACATAACTACCATGTAGTTGAAACTGTCCCAAATGAGCCTGTGATTTTCAAGGTACTCCATGTACAAATGTCATTTTATTCTTTTTATTCTTAGTCTTCTGTATATTATTCTTCTGTATAAAGAAGCTTTGTACAAATAATGGAAAATAAAACTTTTTCTTTTATCATTTGATCATGTTTGATGTTTATTTTAATTGAAATAACAAATTACATTTTTTTGATTTTCTCATCATCCAGTATAAGCTCCACTCGTAACTCTGCATCGCCAACACAGCTTATGTCACAGGAAATTTAGATATCAGATCAGAATCAGATGCAAAACTGAGGAAAGTCAAATGCTGCAAATGCGCAGAGGGCAAAGGGTCAACAATAGAGTCAAAATAAAACATATATGTAAGATTAACTAAGATTAAGAATATGAAAAGTAGTTTTCTTTGGCTGCTTATGTCTTGTATCAAAGTTACACTTAATTTACCATACATTACTATACATTAGGATACCAGCTCCTTTGCAGTACAGAGTCAGAAAAAGTCAGAAAAACTATTCAAATATATTTTACTAGACCTGCAGTACAAACTTTACAGTGAACTCATTCTTTTTAGATTTTGTTGCAATGCTGAATACAGTGGTATTAGGCAGTGATGATCTGGCCTCATTTTGCCTCTAATAGCTGCTTCCTGTTGCCCTGAAATCTCACAACAAACAAAACAAATCTCTAGCTGACATATGTATATACAGTCTACACAATTACGACATGTTTTCTGTTCTTTTGAGACAACAAAGATGCAGCTTGTGTAAAAGCGGGTTAGAGGAACAGCGGTAAAGCGGGTTTATAATATGAACAGAAATATCTTAGACCAGTAGCTGATATATTCACCAGCTGCTGAAACAGTGCAACAGAGTCAGAAATTGGTGACTTGGAGGTTTTTCCAGGTCCAAAAAGCTTTGTGACGACCTCTAGTGGTTAGAAACAAGCATTAAGCATTCCTTAGCAGTGAAGTGACTGACAGGCACACCTCCTGGACGGAAATGTCATTTACAGTTTTTGCAGTTGCTATAGATGTGATTGATTGACTTTTTTTTACTGGTTGTTCCTGTTTACATTGGACTTCCCTGCTCAGTAAATTTTGAGCAGTTATCAAAAGTTAACCTGGACTGACAAGCAGGTCCGGTAGGTGTTTCTGATCAGGACTCGTCTGACAGGAGTGAAGTCACTGCCAGTGACAGTGAAGGGATTACACTGTGCTGTGGGAGGTTTTATTTCCAGTATACAGCTGAAGACAGTTATCCAACATTTGAGAGCAGACACAGTGATTAGAAGTCCACAAGAACACAAATACAAACTCATATTGGTGCATAAACATACACCCTAAACAATAGACATTTTAAAAGACCATTAGTCAAATGATGGAGTCAGTAGGCCCATAACTAGGAACACACAGCTTAATAAATTAACGCTGCAGAGGAATGACGACATCCTAATCTAGTGAATGAGTCATGAAATAATTACACGACACGTCACTGACAGCGAAGGTGTTTCTCTACAAGGGCCACAATGCACATCAGGGAGGAGGAAATCTTCAATCATTCCTTTTCCTTTTCTTCCAATCAGGTATTGAGACATCCACTGGCAGTTCCTCTAACTGTTGCACACTTCCTTCTCCTGTAAAATTAATTTGTGTGCGTGTACATGCAGTTACATGCATGCGTGTGTGTGTGTGTGTGTGTGTGTGTGTGTGTCCGTGTAAACTGTGCAATGCCTGGTAAAAATCCCCCTCACTCCACTATAAGAGAAGTCAGCATGGAGACACAGAGGCACATCTTTCCCAGGACTCTTCCTTTGAATAACACACACACACAGGTGAGTCTAAACATAGGTGGTGCTGGTTGGGGTCATGGTGGTGGATGATTGCTGCTAGCCTTATATTTAAAAGCAGGATAAGGAAGTCAACTAGGATGAGAGAATACATGAAAATGGCAAAAATACATTCCATGTGCTCCAAACGCATACTGAATTGCTATGTAAATCACTATAATATTTATCCTAATAATAATATAATTACTATAAACATTTGCTGGTTCCAGCTTCTGAAATGTGTAGATTTGCTGTTTTTATCTATTTTTTAAATCATTATAAATTGACTATCTATAATTTTTTGTGGATGTGGTTCAGAAAAACAAGATTTATAAAGACATCACCTTCTCTGGTGAAATTGTGACAATTGAGATTTTATAACAATTCCTAAATGGTCAAGAATAAGAAAATTAAAAATATGTTAAATAGAATGATAAATAATTCATACAAACCTTAGATTAACCTTTACCTACTGTGTAAGATTGATCTTTAGAGATTTTAACAAATGCAATGCTTCTGTTAGCTCTCCCACCAGATAACCTCAGTGATGAAGATGATACTCAGCCGCTCTATCTGTCTGGTCCTCCTGCTCAGCTGTCTGAGTGAACTCATAGAGAGCCGAACACTGCATCTGAACAGCTGCTCTGTCAATGTTCACACACACGAGCTGCGCAAATATTACTCTACCATACGATCAAATGCGGTAAGTTTAATAGTGGCACACTTTCAAAACTTCTAACTTAAGATAAATCATAGAAATCAACAAATGCAGCTGTCTAATCCAGCACAACGTGCAGACCCAAGCAATCACTTAACCACTCATAAATACACAACACAATATCAGAAACTGTTCACCTGTAAGTGGGTGGAAACTTCTCACTTTTTCTTTGTGGTCTTTGCATTACAGATAGCAGGAGACACTGTGATCGGAGTGAAATTCCTGAAGAAATCATTGATTACTGATGTTCAGGTGAGTCTTTGTGTTGGATGTAAAGCTGGTTATGGTTTTTTCTATCCTAATGTTCTGTTTAAAACTTTTAATTTCCCCCTGCCCTAAGTCATAGACTGATCAAGGCTTTGTAGTTAAATGTGAGCGTGCTCTAATCTGACCTTTATGTGTCTCTATCAGGACGGTCAGACGTGCTGTTTCCTGCGTCTTGTGCTCCAATTCTACGTTGAGAGAGTGTTCAGCAACTATGCCTCTGCCCAGCCACAAGATCAACGCTGCTCCAGCGCTCTGGCCAACGCTTTTGTCAGCATCAGAAAGGATATACATAAATGTGTAAGTTAGCTGTTCAATAAGTTAGTTCAATGATAAAATGCACTTTAATTAAAAACTGCAATGAGTTTAATTAATAATTGTATTTTGTTGTGTTCAGCACTGCCACTGCACAGAGGAGACACAGAGAACAGTTGACTCCCTACATGCTGAGTTTATCAAGGTATGGAGTATAGAGAATAACTCACTGTACATAAACAGCTCATGTCCCACATTCTCACAGTGGACTGCAGAGGGTGCTGGAGTACTGTGATTCAATTTTACAAACAATATCTTAGTTGGTTTTCAATAGTTAAGGGCTACATGCTACTTTTTGGTGAATATCCTGATAGGTGGCATGCAAAACAATCAAACTTGCCAGGGTGCTGAGGGTTAATGTAACATATTATATGTCTGACTAAATGGGCTTAAAATATGACTCCTCAGCAGCACTCCAGCTGTAGCGTTCATTAACCAAAACCTACTCACTCTAACAAGACAAAGCAAACTGAAAATTGTTTCTGTACAGTTATGCTAATCAATAAATCATCTGTGTTTCTCTCTCTCTCTCTGAGCAGCTAGAAATAAAGCAGGCGGCACAGAAGGCCGTGGGAGAACTGGACACTGTGCTGGACTGGCTGGAGGGACTCACACATGATCAAACACACACATGATAGATGCTGAGCAAAATCAACACTGCAGTTGTGCATGCAGTTGATGAGCATTTCCTTGTTTTGTACTTGAATTAACTTAATGTATGACTTATCCACTAACATGTGGACTGAATTTTTTGATATTGCAATATTTATAATTAAAATTAGGAACATAAATGTTTAGGTATTGATATTTATAGAAAGTTGTTAAGGTATTGTACATGTGTTTCTACTGTTTAAGTTTAAAAATAATTTTAACATCAATAAAAACATTTAAAAAAACTAAATTTACCAACTAATTTTTAGCGTTTCCTGTCAGTGTGCTCTGTATAACCATTTAGTAGTGATCAATAATAACACAAAGCCAACACAATTTAGAGGATGTAACACAGTCATAATTTGCTGCAGGAGCAGAAGCAGGAAGGTTGGTTATGACTTCTTAAACTAACTTTAAGTTAAATGAAGTCTGGTACAATGAGATTTAACTTGCTGATATGAAGCCTCCACTGGAACACCCTGTCCTCTAACTCACAAGTCAGCGACCTAAAAATCAAATCATCTTAACTTCTGCAATATCAACAAATTGAAAAGCAGACAGAGAACAAAGCTGAAAAAAATTGTACACACACTTGATTCTCATACTCTGTAGATCCTACACTTTGTAAAGCTGTCTGCTGTTTAGCGAAACAGGATGTTTCTGTCAGACTCTTTTTTCACTTTGCTGCAAATGGTAAAAAGAAATGAAACTTAAACTACAGAGAACCACCAAAATTAAACAGTCTTACTTCCTTTGAAAGTTGTCATGTAGTCAGTTTTTTTTACCATCTGTGTTGAAACCCGGGAAATAACTTGCATCTTGATAGACAAGCTTAGTAACCCTAAACCAGTAGTAGAAGTACTCAGACCCTGTACTTAAGTAAAAGTAGCAATACAACAATGTCAAATACAAATTACAAGTAAAAGTCCTACATTCATTATCCCACTCAAATAAAAGTATGAGTATTATCAGCAAAATGTAGTGAAGGTACTGTAGAAAATTGGCACCTGTGACTGATTTATTATTAATACACCATGTTATCTTCAGTATGACACAAGGTCCATGTACTGCACTGGTCAGTGACAACATCAGAAACTGAGTTTGGGAAGTGAGGGAGCAAAACTCCACCTTCAGCACAACAGCACTTCATCATATCCAGAGCAGACTACTTTCTGTTGAATGTTGCTCAAACATTTTTGCAAAGTGATAGATGAAAGATTTGACTGATTCAACTTTGGCCCAATTTTGAGGAGGCAGTGTTAAGAGAGGGACGTGTAGAGGGACACTGGTTCCTGGTAGAGCTGACTGAAGGGAACAACTTGATCTTTTCTTTGTAGCCTTTTTGAGACGACATTAGCGCACACACACACCCACACACACACCCACACACACACACACACACACACACTACTATTATTTATGTTCGCATAACATAATCATAATACAGTAACATATCTCTGAATGATTCAATACAATACACACACACAACACTGATACCAACTAACACACAGCCAATGTGAAAGTGAAAGAGGAATGTGGTCAATCTATTTGTAAAGACAGTTAGATTTCCTCTAAAGGAGACAGCAGTAAGTACACTATGCAGACACACAAGGTGCACACAATGTGACACATAAGGTGGAGGAAATGTAAAGGCAAAAAGTATAGTTCACCGCAGTTCATCTGGTCTGCAAAGCACAAAGTATTCACAGTCAAGATGATCATGCAAAGATCTACCAGCATCCACATTAAAGTCCAGGTACATTTATCCTTTCAAATCAACGTAATAAGTTAATATTGCTTACTGCAGCACTGGTTAGTGACAACGTCAGAAACTGAGTTTAGGTGCAGTTAAGAGCAAAATTGTCAGCACAATAGCACAGATGTTGCTCAGAGATTGAGAAAGTGATCGATGAAAGATTGATTCAGCTTTGGCCCAGTTTTGAGGACGCAGTGTGAAAAGAGGGGCATGTAGAAGGACACTGGTTCCTGGTAGGCCCCCAATGGGGGGGGGTAGAAGGACACTGGTTCCTGGTAGAGCTGACTGAAGGGAACAGCTTGATCAGAATAAGCAGGGCGAGAAATTTCACTGACTTCTTACCTCTGGTTTAAATGCACAATGAACATTAACTTAACTTATATACTGATACTGAGCCTCCACTGGATTGTCTTACTCAAGGGAATGTGACCTGAAAATGTAATCAAACTAGTTTCAGTCATGGTTATTGAGTTCAGGTCATAATGTCACAATCAGAAACATATGACAGGATGATAACACACAGAGAGAACAACACATCCACTAAGTTGTTGCAAACACATTTCATATGATAGAAAGGATTAGTAATACTACACCCATTTTCTACGCCATTGATTGTATCACTCTGCAGTTTGTCCGGTCACTTCTCGGATGCTGGGTTGGATTATTAGTCGTGTGTGAGGGAGAAGATGACTAATATCTAAAAATGAATGAAGAATAAAAATACTATGACATAATAGCACACTCAAAATTGCTCTCACACACACAAAAACAAAGCCACAACTGAAATCCGTGTAGACCAAGCAGAAGGATCTATAATGAAAGAGCAACCACACGAAATCATGAATTCACACAGCTAAATGCAGAGCTACAAATGCATGCTAACACATACACAGTCAGTGCCGAACTCAGAAGTGCTTCCCATAAACTGCTTACTGCTGACTCAACTCAGTTTTTTGCATATGAACTTTCATATATATATATAAAATATGTACATATATTTAAATGTATACGATACATACAGCATGTTGCTTAAAAGACACAAGAAATCTATAACTTACTATATCTATTACTTTAATTACATTCTTTAATTCTTACATTTTGAACAGTTTACAGAATAACATCTACTTTAGGTTAATCCTCTGGACTGCAAACCAGCATTTTTTAGCTGCTGTAATTTGTATGTACAAGTGCAATGACCTATTTTTCTGCGTATTGATGCAGTTCGTTTTGTCCAGTCTTACTTGGATTTCGCAATTCACAGAATTCTCTGGAAACTAATTGGACAACTTTTTTTTTTCCTTCTCTCAATCCCAAACCGCCACCATTTCTCTATCTTCAGTGTGTATGCTATTTTTGTAGTGGGCCACAGTTGTCGTAGCCTGTATTAGTATTTATTATTGTACTAGCTCAAAACGCTATTTTTGCTATCACTAAACTGTCATAACTTTCGAAATTGTGAGATCACAAAAGACTCACATGCATGTTGACTAAAAACTTTTAATTTTAGGATATTTGTTAGTTTATGTAACACATGTACTGGAGTATGGAGAATGTACAATTCCTAAAAAAACAAGTCAAACTAAGAAATAAAGTAAAATTACAACACAACACATAAAACAAAGTGAAAAATGTATGTTACATTTCAGTGTTTCAGAGCCAATTTTGCGTTTTCAGAGCTGTTTGGATTCGAAAGGCTAACTGTCATGGCTGCCAACATTAAGCCCCGCCTGCTGCCATTCCCCGAGGTACCTCCTTGCATCTGCAGTAAGAGTGCTTTGAATTTACTAGTTGCAGCTCAATGCTACTGGGCAACACTGAAATGCAATACACCTCTTCACTTTGTTTTATGTGCTTGACATGGAAAATTGTCACAATGAAAAACAGTTAATTCTGTAGATATTGTATATTCATTGAGTTGTTTTCATTTGTAGGCATTTTAAATCTTCCATACTATAGCCTTTTTAAGAACAAAGTCAAGTATTGGCACACTGGTTTACCACATTTGTCTGTGTTGTCTTTGTTTTTATTTATTTAATGCTGTGTTATCTTCAGTATGACCCAAGCTTCATCCAGTAAATGAACTTTAACTTGAACTTTGACAAATTGTCCTAAAGTGTATTTGTACAGACTGTGAAGTCTTCATCATGCAGAGATAATCACTGGGAATGATTGTTCAAAATTCCACTGTTACCCAACAGAAATGGGCTAAGACAGCATAAAACCAACAGACAAATTCATATAGAAAAGTGGACATAACAGAAAAAGTACTGAAGGGAAAACACCTCTGCCATCTTTAAGAGTCCCAAATCACTTCTCTCTGAGGTTTCTCGTTTCTCGTATATATATATATAATATATATATTATCATATATATATATGATAATATATATATAATATATTATAATATATATTTATAAATATATACTATATATATTATATTATTATTACTTACTTATATATACTTATTTATATATATAATATATATAATATTATATATATAGTTTATTATATATATATATAGGCCAATGTACATGCAATTGCCTAAGCAAACCTCATCAAAGGATAACCGATGACCATACCGACCCAATCACCACCAAAAAGCATAAGACAATTAGATGTCACCTGTCTTCCAGTTTTTGTCAGTCTTCACGCAATGGTCTGGAAACAAAGGGGAATTCCACAGCGTCATCAAACTCAAACCACAATAAGTCATTCTTCCATCTGAGTGGCACTTTTTCCTCTGGTTATTGTTGAATGCATGGAACAATATAATGTGATTTACTGCTCTTAATGCAATTTTAAAAACCTATTATGCAGTATCTATTTTAAGGTCTGTTTATCTTGTTGCCTAGTTCAGGTGGATAAAGGCATGTCACTTGGTTAACCTTTTTTTAGATGGGACTGATTATGTGGCAGTCACATACTACTAATATATATACCTTAATAATACTGATAATACATAATATTAATATAGAATCATAATAATAGTAAAATGGAAAAATACAAGAATAATATAAATGATTTTTAAGGGTGAATATTCTTGAGATTTCTATCAATAGTACCAGCCATAATCTCATGGGAGGCTGTGGGCTCATACCTAATTATGGATTTAGCAAAAAAAAATAAATTCCCTTAATGTATGAAGTATGTTGGCTTTCCTGTCAGTCTCTGCCTTCATATCTGGGCTATAAATTAAGACCACAGATTGAGCCCACAATGTATGAATTTTTTTTCTTACTGACCTGTTCAGGCAAACCTCCAAGATTCCCCCCAGTCAGAAGTCAGAAAACTTCAATTACCTCCATCTAAGCCTGCAGCATCTTCACCCTTGGGAGGGCCAGCTCGCCCCTCTCTTTCTCTCTCTTAGCCTCAGAAAGGACTCAGCAGCTTGTCCACCAGCATGACCTCCTCGGTCTCTCCTCCTGTCTCCCTGTCGTCTTATTTCTTCTGCATGTCTGGTGCTCAGTCCCAGTGCAAAACCAGTGCTGTGTTGTCGTGGAGCGGTTCCCTGGATGTTAGGCAACCTCAGAGCAGACTTGCACAGAGATCCGAGATTTCTATGTTGCAGAAGTAAAGCACAGTATTATATGATTATTATTAATAAGTATTATTTATATTATTTATTATGGTTATGGGCTATCTTTTTAATAGTATATTATGGTTTGATGTTTGAGCGACTATATACTATAATATTTTATTATTAATGATTATTATTTATTGACTCGGCACATACCGTTGGAGAGGTTAGTGCAGCATCATTGGAAGATCGCTCAACCGTCCATGTTGGCCATGGTAGCTATGTCTCATTCACTGGTGCCCAGCTGTCAGTTGCACCGCCTGACAGTGCCTCGCCATGCACACTGAGCACAAGCTGTTTCTTTTTGCAGGAAGCCAACGATGATTGGATTCAGCGCTTGCTAGAACAGGACTGGTGCGAAGGACACTTTAAAAGTAATTTTGCCTTACTCATTCTCCACGAAGTCCTTTCTGTATGGCTAAAAAAGAAAAGTGCTACTTCTCAAAGTCAAATCGGAAGCACAGAGCATACATTTACTGAGAAGTCGAGCACGCCAGTAAAGAGTTAAATGACAGCATATAACCGGGCTGCCGCTTTCCTCCCACTTTCAGACCCCGTTCGCCTGCCACGCCATTAACAGCATACTGGAGTTTTATCTAAGCACGGTTCTGCCGACAGCCATGGCCGGGGTGACGGAGGACACTAAGGACTTAAAGCCTCACATGGAGTCTATCCAGCAGATCTTCGACCAGCTCAAGAGTGATGTCACCAGATGTGTGAGTACCTGCTACACGTGTTCCTCCTACAGCAGAATAAAGATGTAAATACGCACCGACTGCAGTCGGCTCCATAAGAGCTCCGTAGCATCCAGTGCGCAATGTGTAGCTGCATATTTGTCCAAATGCGCTTGTTGACAAGATGACTTTATTGTCCTTGTGCAGCATTGCTGTGATATTGTTGAATAACTATTAAGGGAATACATTAAAATCGACCTCCGTATTATGTATCATCCCCTCCTGGAGGATATACATTCTAAATGTTTCCCAATTGCTACACTGCACTAAAAGGTTATATTTGGACTCAAGGAACATTGAGGCGACTGGTCTTGCTTTTCATGAATACACGTGGTTAGCTGTCACAGTGGTCTGCCACCAGCCAGACCATCTTCTCGTTTGGACTACATCCGGAAACTTTTATAATATTCCCCGCACTTTTTGGAATGTGGCAAACGACTTAAAGGGATGTGTCCAGTGATGGCTCATAGGAGGGGTCATCATTTTTGCATTAGTCAGTGATTCCTAAACTGCAGCCGCATGCATAACTGTACATCACCCAGTTTTTGCAAAAGGGGAAGAAGCAGAAGCGAGGACATGCTGCTACTGACAAAGTTGCTCTAACTCTGCCTTACTTGCTACAAGTGTGTGGGGAGGGGGGCTGTTAATTAGGGGCAGGACAGTCTAATGAAAGTTGGTAACGCCTTTGCTAACATCATCTTTTTATTGTTTCTTACAGAGACATTACTTCAACTGCAAGCATCAGTTTGACATTAATACCCTAAACTCTACTTACACTCAGGTGAGTGCCTAGATTTCATCTTCAATACTGAAAATGTTTAAAACATGTATGTGTGCATGCTTGTATTTTGACAGATGATGTCAATAAACTGGGTCATGTGTTTATCCACAGATGGAGAGTAAAGGTCTATATAAGGCCATGGGCGAACTGGGTCTGCTGTTCAACTACATTGAGACATATATGGCTTCTAAACGACACAGAAGACATGGAGCCTCTGTTTGAATGTGACCCTGGGAAGAAGAAAAGACAGTCATTAAATCTCCTGCGCTCAGTCCATTTCTATCTCTGGAAGCTCTTTTATGAGCTTATTTCATCGATCTCTTTGTTGATCTGAGACCACTATGTTACCTTTGTCCTGAGGACATATATTTTTTGACCATATTGAGTCTTTTAACTGTCTTTTTTAAAAACCATAAAAGCCATATTTATTATTTTTTTAAATCATATATAATGTGTATTTTTGTATTTATTATTGTCTTGTTCTAGATAAATAAATATGTTGAAAATGAATGACTTGATTTTATTTCACAAGATGGTACAGCTGCTATTCGTGTGCTGTTTATTAGGAATGGGTGAGCACTGAATACATAACATCCTGCACAACTGCAGTCTATATGTGGGGAACCACTAGTATAATCTCAACAGGCTGATGCACTAACCTCAAACGTGACCCATATACATCACTTACCAGCAGAGGCCCTGCTGTATCTTAACTTACCGTAACTGTAACTAGCCAGCCTCACCCTCATGGCATATTGCACACTTGCAAGTACTCGCATACACGTGCATGCAAAAGCAATCTCACTTAGTCACACACAGACACATATTATAAAACTGAACTAATACACAGGGTGAAATAGAGCAAGTCCTGTATTAAACAAGGAAAAAATATTCCTTTTTTTATGTGCTAATACGTCACCTTCTTCATAGTGACAGAGACAGAGGGGGTAACTGCAGGTTTTTATAATGTTTTTAACACAAAAGGCCCCAAAACACGCTCTGCATACTGTAATAACGTTTGAATGTACGTGCACATATTAGCCTGACAGTGAGTCTGACTGTTGGGTAAGGTTCCTGACTTGACTCAGGCCTCCAACCGAAACTACATGATCCGAATAGTATGATTCCAGCAATGACTATCTTATGCAAAAATATCATTCATAGGATTTGTTTGGAGCATGACTATTTCATTTTGACCCATGTCAATAGCAGTTTCCTTAAGGATGAATCATGTTAGTGTCGTGTTAACTCCTTTTAAAATTCTTAAATAAGTGTTGATTCATTCTCCTTAAAACCAGTGTTTTAGTCTTTTGCCTGTCTGGTGACAAGTTGGTTAAGATCATGTCTGGCTGCTCTTATGTAATGACTGGATGCTTCTGTCAGAGAGCAATGGTTTTGAGGGGAAAAAAACAACACCATCATTGACACCAATTACATCATCCAAAATTTGCACAATTAGTTATGTCCTCCCCCGCACTGCAGGGACGTTAATGAAAAATGTTGAATCACCATTAAATGATCGTGATTATTGGTACATTTTTTTTTACTTTTATCTAAAATGTGGGTCTTCTCTAACACAACTTTCACCTGGACAGTTAAGATATCCTAAATCCCCAGAACAAGAAAGTCCTGGGTTCAGCCTGCCACTGCCTTTATTTAGGCACATAGTATTAAACTGTTTGACTCAGCAAATCATCATTAGGGACTGTACAAAAATACTGGGGATTTATTATTTATTTATTAATAAAAAACGTCTATTTTATTTGGACCCTGGCCCATGAAAAACAAAAAAACGTCAATACACACCCAATACTTTAAAATAATATTTCAGAATATCTCATTTTCACGTAAGAGCGGCTGAACGGTTAGACGGCCAGAATGGATGGCAGAAAAATCCATAACGGATTGACAAGAAGTGGACACCCTCTTCTGCAAAAATGTAATATACAGAGTCAGATTATGCTTGAACAGAACTAAAATGTCGGATATCAAAAGAGTTCCAAAAGGCCACACTCGAAGGTGGAGTGGAAAGACAGCGGGCATGGAGAGACATGCAAAATTTTTTATATGGTCTCTCCTTCAAAGCATTCCTAGTGTTGCACTCAGTTGTTAACATGAGAAGACGGTGTGAATGTCCTACGGACAGAGTTCTAAGGCTATCTGAGCATCTGAGACACTCCTAGTTGAGGCCACATGAAATTTAGAAAGAATGAGATGTGAGAGATTAAAAACTGCCATTTGACAAAAAGGAAATAGAACGTCACAAAAGTTGTCAAAAACATCCGCTCTGATTCATTATTTTGAATCATAAAGACTGATGAATTTTATAAACGAATGAGTCAAGCACAAAATTAGATTGTTCCAAAGTAGAGATGCTGCAGATATCTGAATATGCTGACATTGCTTTAGTACAAAGAGTGACACACTCTTTCTATTATGAACTAAGTCAAAATGTATGATATCAACGCATTCCATTATACACTTGAAATACTGTGTATTGCATCATCATATGTGTATGTATATATGTGGGTATATGTGTGTGTACATAAATATAGACATGTCTTTATTTGCCACTGGAGCTTTTCTTAGAAGATAAAGAATGTGTTCCTACAAAAGAAGCATGTTTTTAAAATAATCAGCAAAGCAACAAACACAGGAAGCTAAAACAATCAAAGCAACCACATAAACCACAACATGCACCTGAGAGAGCTGTACTTGACAGTAAGAACAATTTCCAGCACATGTGAAAGATTTGCAAATGTAGTTCTACATGTAGAACTGACAATGAAAGGTTTTCCATTTGATCATGTCTGAAAACCTTGCCAAGTTTCACTGAGATCCGGCTTTTTTGCTGAGGTAATGTGTGGCGTCTCACTATTGCTACCTTATCTGGGGCGGGTTGCCGGGGTCTGTCGTGTCTTATGTGGGGCGATGTGCATGTGTGAGAACCAGGATGGTAGGCCACTTCAAAGAACTCCGAGCTGTGTCATCGCCTCAGCTGAGAAGTCTCCATCCTTTACATTTCCCCTCACCTATAAAAGCGGTGAACACAACAATGACAGACATGCTGGCACGTTTATGCTGACATGTTTCAGTTTCCAACCAAGAATCACTTGTGAATCAGTGAATGCCTTCTCAGATTTCCTCTGACAATGGAAATCCTCTGATGGTGCTAAACTGTTGAGAAGATAACTTGTGTTATCTATAGTATGATAACAATGTAACAAAAAATTATGTCAGAAGCTTAATACAGTATGGACAACTAAACTCTGAGTTTATACCTGTTGGGCTTCCAACCACTCAGTCAATAAAAGGATGACAGGGCACTCCACCTCCATTTCTGAGAGCATGTATGGTGGTACCTGAGGTTTGCTGTAGGCGGGTTAGGGGGTTGAACCTCTACTACTGTCAGGAGGGACTCCCCTTAAGCCCCACTTAAACCCTTTCTCATACCTTACCTGACAGACGAGACTGACGAGATGACTGTAGGTTTCGTCACACTCAAAGCTGGAAGCTGAGTGCCTACGGCCACCTCACACCTGAAGAAAAATAACCTTGTGCATTAGCGGGAAACTGCTCTAGTCTAAACACCCCAGTGTTGGCAAATGTCCGTGTTGAGTCAATGCCACAAGTCTGTCACTGTTTTGCTACGCAAATGCGTATATTCCAGGAGTCACTCATGACTGCAAGTATGCTTGTCACGAGTTGAGTCCGCGCACCCCATTGTCAAAGCTTTATATCCCCAAGCCGACCCTGAGTCATACCTGAAGACGTGATTGAGAAGAAAATATCTCTAAATGTAGAGGCAGAGGTCAACCATGGAGAAAATATTTGATTCTAATTTGATTCCCTTTGGGATTTAACCAAAATTTAAGATATTTACTTGATGAACAATTGGACAAACAATCTTACAGTAACACACATGTAACAAGTAGACAAGTTGGCTATCATAAGAAAGTGTTTGCGTTACTTGCTCATTTTAAGAGTAGGTGCTCTTTTTTCGGCAACACATAAAAAAAAACCAAATAACTTATAACCTATAGATAATTTCAAAGGTAGTTTCTACTTTATTTGGATAAAGAGAGGCAAAGCTTAACTTGAAGAGATATTAACTATTTACTGAAACTAAGTGATATTCATTATACACAAAGAATTCAATTTTTTTGTAAATTTTTTTGTAAATAATACAAGCAAATAAGACAACCCTACTAAATACTTAAAGCTAAACAATTTCTACAATAGGAGTTTGAGAGTATTTTACAGAAAAAGACATTACTGTTGCCATACATCAAATTCTATACAGTACCATGTGTTATCAAAGGCCTGTAAGTAGGGATGTCCGATAATATCAGCCCTCCGATATTATCGGCCGA